TCTTTCCATGAGCCTTCATTATTTGTAATTTTTATTGCATCACAATCTGAAAAGGATGCATTTAATATTTCTGCCTTTCTGCATTGGATTGTGAGGTTTTTATGCCCCTTCTTCAGTTTTAAAGCCTGTAAATCTATGATTTACTCCAAAAGAAGAGGTAGTTCTTAGTCATACCTATGCCCCTACTGTGTGTCTGAAGTATAAAGAAGTAAAATCAATACCAAATATAAATTAAATTCAGCAAATATTTATTAAGCATATATTCTGTACAAGTCACTTTTCTAGGGCTGAAAATACAAAGACAAAAATAAGACAGTTCATCCCCTCAAGAAGCTGTCTATTGAGCAGATATACTACATATACAGATGAGTAAATAAAAAGGTAATTTGAGGAAGGAGAGATCACAAAGGATAAGAGAAGATAAAGGAAGCAGATGGCACCCAAGAATGACCTTGAAGGAAGATGAGGACTCTGACGGGTAGAGAGTACATTCTTTTTTTTTTTTTTTTAGGCAATTGGGGTTAAGTGACTTGCCCAGGGTCACACAGCTAGTAAGTGTCAAGTGTTTGGTCTGAGGCTGGATTTGAACTCAGGTCCTCCTGACTTCAGGGCCGGTGCTCTATTCACTTTGCCACTTAGCTGCCCCAAGATGTGAACGCCCAATAGGCAAGAGATGGAATGTCAATTTCAGGTAACAGCTAGTAGTAGTCCAGTTAGCTAGAACATGAAGGGGAAAAAAAAAACTAGGAAAGAATTAGATTATTGGGAGCTTTAAATACTAAGTTAAGGGGCAGCTAGGTGGCGCAGTGAATAGAGCTCTGGCCTTAGAGTCAGGAGAACCTGAGTTCAAATCCAGACTCAGACACTTAACACTTACTAACTGTGTGACTCTGAGCAAGTCACTTAACCCCAATTGCCTCACCAAAAAATAAATAAATAAATACTAAATTAAGAAATTTTCATTTTATCCTAGAGGACATAAGAAGCTACTATGTGAATAGTAAAGTTGCACAGTCAGGCCTGTTCCTTAGGAATATTATTATGGCAGGTGTGTGGAAGATGGAGTGGAGAGGAGAGAGACTGGAAGCAGGGAGAGCAATTATAAGAGTATTACAACGGCCAATGAGAGAAGAGATGAGAGCCTACCTAAATCAAAATGACGGCTATGTAAATAGAAAGAAGGAAACAGAAGTGAAAGATGTAATGAAGTAGAATCAACAACACTTGCAAACTGATCATGAGGAATGAGGGAGAGGAAAGAGTCAAGGATGACTCCAAAGATAAAACCCTGGGTGATTAGGAGGATGGTGTTATTAAGACATAAAGGGAAATTTGAATGAGAGGAGGGAAGATGATGAGTTCCAGTGAGACATGTTGAGTTTGAGGCAGAGATAATCTAGCTAGAAATATCCAGTTGGCAAAGTTATTATAGTATGCAGGATTGTAGTCTAAGAGAGAGATTAGGGCTGACTATATAATTTTGGGAGTTATTGGTATACAGAACATTTGAACCCATAGGATCTGATGAGATCACCACGAGAGAAGGGAGGGAATTGCACCACAATTGAAGGATAGGAAGTGGATGATGAGTCCAAAAGACACTAAGAAGGAGTGATCAGTGAGGAGACCAAGAGCAGAACTGTGGCAAGAAAACCTAGCGAAGGAGAGTATCAAGGAAAAGGAGGTGGTCAACAGCATCAAAAGCTAAAGAAAGTTCAAGACCAAAAGCGACAGAAACCAGATTCCAAGAAAGTAAGAAGTGAGTGAGGGATGAATGAGTGGAGATGATGAATATTTATAACTTCTATTAGTACTCTTTTTAGGAGTTTAGGAGAGACAGAGAGAGAGAGAGAGAGAGAGAGAGAGAGAGAGAGAGAGAGAAAAGTAGCTTGAGAGGATGATAGAGTCAATTAAAATTTTAAGGATAGGAGATATCTGGATGTATTTTTAGACATCAAGAAAGGAACCAGTAGTTAGAGAAAGGTTAAAGATGAGAAAAGAAAAGGAATGATAATCACCTGGAATAGATGGGGAGGGATGGAACAAAAGGCACCAGTAAAATGTATAGCCTTGACAAGGAGAAAGGACACTCCTTTTTCAATGACTAGAACAAAAAAGATGAGTGATAATGCAGAAGAACGTTGAGCGGGGAAGTAATGGAGATGAGAATGCTCATGAAAGATGGCCTCAATTTTCTCCATGTAATGAGATGTGAATAGTAGGCTCCATGTTATACTCTGGCTAGAACATGTCATGAAATGGTGAACCTGCACCCTGGCCACTTCCAGAGAAACATGTGGTGCAACACAGAAGTGCTTGTCATTTTGGGACAATGAAGCAAACCTTGAGTTGTTCCTTGATCTTTACACCTCATGACTGCTGAAGGAGGGAAAGGTGTGTCAAGATTCTATTAAAGAGGATTGGCTTTTAGGTCAAGAGGAGTGACCCACTCAATGGACCTCAAAGGGACTATTTCTCCCTCTCTGTCTCTGTCTCTGTCTCTGTCTCTGTCTCTGTCTCTGTCTCTCTCTCTCTCTCTCTCTCTCCCTCTCTCACTCTCATTCTCTCTCTTCTTATCTGCTGATCATATCAAGACCCATAGAACCTCTTTCTGAACCCCTGAAAGGGGTTTCCCTTTCTTCACCTTTGAAACATGGTGACTAGTGGGAATCCATGGAGGATGGTATAAGCCCTGTGTTGGTGAAACATCTTGGGCTGCCTTTTCTGTTTTGTTTATCGCTTGAGTATAGGTATCTTAGAGGTAATCCCAAGATAGACATTTTCAGTCTTGGAGGCAGCCTTGTAAATTAAAGAGGTTAGAAGCTCCTGGGTCCTCAGTCAAAGGTGGCTGTACTTCAGGAGGAATCACCAGCAACCTCACCAATACTTCTTAAAGAAGATGACCAGCAGAAGGAAGATGGGTCCAATCCATTTGGCTTGCCAGAAGATATGGACCTGACATTTGTTTCAACAGCACAGAGCTGAGGTGAAGGTGAAATGCTGATTAAGCAATCCCACAAAATGCTTCATGTTTTGATGTTTTAAGCACTAGCCTCAATGAGAGACTAGCAGTAGTTATGAGTTATTTGTGCTGCTTGTTTAAATCTTGTCAATGTGTGCCTGTTTCTTGTATTAAGAATTTTTTTTGTGTGGAGGAAATAAATAGCAGTCCTGTACCTGATTTACATTGTATGTTGAGTACCTTTCTAGTCTTCCCTTTTGGGGTGATACCAGACATGAGACAAACCTAAGCTTTAAATGATTCTTCCTGGGACTCTAGAGTGGGGGGGGGGGGTCAAGAGATGATCTCTGACTCTGTTGGTCAGGCTCTTCCAGGACTGAATCCCACCTGAGTGCAAGGATCCAGAGCTGAGAGGGGGCCCTTTGGTAGAAAGGGAGAGAGCAGGAGCCCCAGCCCTGCTAGGGCTGGTGTGTGTGGGGGGGATTGTTACTACTACATCAATAAAGAAGGAGATAAGATTGCCTGCCATGAGTGAATGAGGAAAGAGATAGCACTGAAAGATTAAAAAAAGAGGAAAATATTTAGAATAGCTAATGAGTGAAGAGAAGAATAAAATAGGGAATAATAATAGGGAATAGGGAAGACCAAAAGGATTGCCATGCTGTAGTGGGAGTCCAGCTAAGATGAAACAGCATGAATTTGTGATGGACCAAATGGCTTTCTTCTAATGACTTTCAGCAGCTTAGGAGTTGGATCACAGAAAAAATCAGTGGTGATAGTGGTGATCCAGAGTTCAGGATCAGAGCGACATGAGCAAATAGCAAAAAGACAAGAGGGCAATAGATTCAAGGGTGGAAGATAGTGTATATCCTCTGTTGGTATGATCTAGCATCTCTTAAACCTCTCTGAGTTACATATAGGGTCATGACTGTGAAAGGACAAAAACCAAGTCCCTGTCAGGGGACAAATTGGAGGGACTGAGCAACTGAAAATTCAGGTAAGGACAAAGAATAGGTTTAGGAGTGAGACACAGAAGGAAGAATAAAATATTGTTTTCAGGGAAGGGCATTTCATACTTCAAGATCATAGAAGTAGAATAATTTTGGGGTGATGGTGAAAGCTAAGGTATGAGACCATCTCCTATGTGTGGCTGAAGTGGATTGAAGATGCAGGTGATGGGAATGAGGAAGTCTGAAGAACTGGGAGGCCCCAGGTATGAAGGCAGGGTAGGAATGAAGAGGAAAATTTGAAGATGGATAATCGAGTCCTTGAGGGAGTAATGAGAGAGTATCAAAGAGAATGAGGATCTCAGATGGGTGATATAGATAGATGGGATGAGCCTCAAAGGAGGAGCTGTTCCTGAATGACAATAGCAGAGAGAAATCTAGAAGTGACAGTGGGGAACACGAGTATATATGTCAACTCTTCCTCTTGACCCAGAGTCACCTGGTGACATAAGAGAAGGAACAACTAGCAATGGGAGTGAGATAAGTGGAGTAGGGAGGTGTCTTCCAAATAGAGCCAGGTTTCCCTTAGCTCAAGGAGATAGAGTGTGAGAGGAAAGATCTAGGGTAAAGGGGAATTTGTTAATGATACAGTGAGGGTTCCAGAGGGCATGGGTAAAGAGGAGAGCAGATGAGGCTAGGAGGGGGTGCATTGCTGTGTACAGGTATGAGATCATGAACAGAGAAGCAAAGAAAAGCGGTTTTCACCTCAGCATCAGAGTACAGGAGCAGCAGACGGGAGTTTGCTAGCTGTAGGACAGGGGAAATACCAGTTGATTGTGGTCTCCAACCTTCTGGGTCCTATGTTGAGTCAACATTGGGGCCAAATACAGGAGTGTTGACTGTCTCAATCCAGCCTCCCAAAATTTTGACCTTTTATGGCTTCTTCGGTCTCCACCACTGCTCTGCACCGAGGTGCCAAGATACCGGGCCAGGTACATCTTTCAGCTCTGTCTTGACTCACACACATCTGTCATGTATGCATTGAGCTCATATACCCTGAGCTGAAGAGTATCATTGAGGCTAGGCAGTAGTCAGAGGAGACTTAGGGGGTCAAGAGATATCAACATCACGAGGAGCCAGAGCAGAGGCAGGAGTTGCTGGGATGGGGAGAAGGGCTCCATCCTCATTACTGATGCTGCCAAGAGAAAGAACGACCAGGGACACAGGGAGAAAAGAGACACAGAGGTAAGAAGAGAGAAGATATAGAAACAAACAAAGAGAAAGATGGATAAAGAAGCACAAAGAGAAAACAAGACAGGCAGGGACAGAAAGAGAAAGAGAGTCCATTACATAGAGGCATAGAGAAAAAGAGAAACAGAATGTAAGATAGAATAAGGTAGTCAAAGACACAAAAAGAGAGAGAGAGAGACAGAGAAGAAAACAGAGATGAGGGCAGAGTGAAACAGAAGAGAGACATAGAGAGAATGAGAAACCAAGTGGGGCAGAAACAAGAATGGGACATACAGAGTTGGTTTGAAAGAAAGACAGAGACAAAAACATGCCAACAAAAAGAGAGGTAGAAAGAGAAACAGAGAGAAAAGATGGAGTAAGACATAAAGAGGGGGAGATTGACAAAATGAGACAGAGATAGATGGAGGGAGGGAGAAGGATGGGGAAAGGACAGCAGACATGGAGAGAGGCAGATAAAGAAGCAAAATGAAATGGAGAGGAAGACTCATAGCAAAGGCAGACAGATAGTTTGAGAGAGGGAAAGAGACAGATGCAGAGACAGCGATAGATTAAGAAAAAAAAACAGTGAGATAGTAGGTAAAAATAGAAAAAGTGACACTCCCAGCCTCCCTTCAAAGCCAAGGCGTTTAAAATCCCCAGTTCCAGACCCCTGCCTTCACAGGAATCTGTCATCCTTTAGCTGAGGTGTGGGAGATGTGTGTGCAGGCAGAGTGGTCCACGGGCCTAAGGAGGGAACCATAGATTCAGTGCTGTATCTAGAAGAATCCCATGATATCCAGAGACTACCAACTCGTCCCTTCACCCTGGTTCTAGTCTGGGTTCTACCACTAGTTGATTCAATGTGTTACCTCAGACAATTCTGTTCCCACCTCACAGGGCCTCACCTTCCTAATCTGTCCTGAGCTGCATTTTCTTTCCGCTTGGCTTCTCCAGCCTACGAGAACACTTGAGATGAGGAAGGAGGAGGTGCTCATTAATGTCACTAGTCTGGACCCATACTGGTCTTTCCCCAGCTGGTCTGTCACAATACCTGAAAAGCCAACATTCGTTTGTGCTTGCTTTCGGCTAAGGTATTAAAAGGGAGCCAGGAAAGGAAAACATCATGGCCTGGGGCACCCCAAGACCTGAGCACAATCTGGACTCTATCACTGGTTCACTGGGCAAGTCGCTACTCCTTCTGGGCCAGTTTTCTTCTCTATAGAAAAGAGATCTGTAATATTTTCCATGCATATCTCAAGGATGTGCAGAACAAAGAAGTTCTGGAGGTGGAAGACTTTCATAAAATAGAAAGGACTAGAGATGCCTGAGGTGGGATCAGAATGCAAATCCCCTTTATAGAAAATCTCCAAACTCTTATTTCTAGGGCTTCTTAAGGTTTAAGTAAATACATAAAAGGTTTATTTTCCTTAGGTCACTTATGAGGTAGGTAATAGATTTATTATGTCATCTTCTATGTACCCATGGTAAGTGGCAAGAGTCAGAACTTGAATCCACAGCTCTTCAGTACACTTCCTATTATCTATGTACATGTTTTAACCTAACTTTCTCCCGCTCCTACCAGAGACTCTCCCCTTCCTCCCCACCAGCTCCATTAGAAAAGAACCAAGACATCCAAATTTTCTATCTACCTCAGCATTAAACATATGCCTTTATATGCAGTAGATGCTTAATGAATGTTTGATGAATTAAGCAAAGTTGAATTGTATCTCTATGCCTTACTACTACCTTGGATAGTCACTTAACTTACCTGTGCCTCAGTTTCCTTATTTGTAAAATGAGAGGGTTGGGCCTCTAAGGCCCTTCTCAGATCCAAATCTATGATGCTGTGATCTTCATTTGATGAACCATCATTTATTAAATACCTACTATTGACTGGACCTTGCATGTGCTCAGGTCTATAGAAGAGGTTGATGAAGAAAATCAAGGCCCTGCCCAGGGAGTTCAGTCTAGCAAGGGTCTAAGAACAGGGACATCCATGTCTGTAGTGCCAGGCAGGGTATGTCCTAGGCCATAGAAGGGGCCCCAACAAAGTGCTATGAACTGAGGCATTAGAGAGGACCTGAGGGAGTGGTAAGCAAAGAAGACTTCCAGAGAAGGGGTGGCCCTTGAAGGATGAATCAGGTTTCAATAGTTATTAGTGATAGGTAAGTGCCTTTCAAGAGGAGAAAAAGGCTTATGTGAACAGTGAGGATGGATTCAGGGGGATGGTGAGTCCTGCACTTTGCTGGGGATGGGAGGAAAGTCTAGGGGAGTAGAGAAGGAAGATGGAGCTGATGCAGGAGGCTGACACCAGACTTTTTAGGCTGAGGACAATTTTGGAGGGGGGAACCAAGAGGAATACTGATAGGTTCCTCAGTGGGGAAGGGAGCTGGGCTGTAGGGTGCCTATCCTGGACCTACCAATGTATAAGATGGAAAGAGTGGGGCCCATTGAAGACATGGAGGCTGATGAGACTGATGCAGCCAGGGAGGGGAGGAGGCCTGGAATCCTGGGCAGCTAGGACCTTGTCCCATCTGAGGATACCTTGCTTCTGTTTTGTGTGTGTGCTGTCTATAACTATCTGTGTGCCCGTGACTTCCCCTGTTAGAATGTAAGCTTCCTGAGGGCAAAGATTGTTTCGATTCTGTCTTCATAACCTCCACACCCAGCGCAGTCCTTGGCATATGCAAGGTCCTTAATAAACGCTTGTCCATTACTTGATTGATGAAGTGGAATGGGGGGGTGGACAATTATGAGAGACTTTGAGGAGGAAAAAGGAACAGGATGTCAAGATTGACTGGGCATAGGAGGACAGTTGCCAAAGAGGCAGCTAGGTAGAGCAGTGGATAGAGCACTGGGCCTGGGGAATACCTGAGTTCAAATCTGATCTCAGACACATATTAGCTATGCAACCTTGGGCAAATCACTTAACCTCTGTATGCCTCAGTTTTCTCAATTGTAAAATAGGGATAATGGTAGCATTTACTTCACAGATTCCCAGGGAATAATCATTTTTCCCCTACAATGACCTAAAGCCCTGGCTTGTCTTACCTGAATTATTTTGTTTGCAGCGTCCTGAAGTGCACTGCTTGTCTGGAAAAGAATAAAACAGTGAGAATGGAGAGAATCCTGGACTCTCAGAGTGGAAAGAAATCTCAGAGGCTGCCTGGAGCTGATCTCTTACAATACCCTTGACTGGCAGTCATCCTGCCTCCCCTGGCAGACTTATAGTAAAGGGAAGGAAGCTCATATATACTGAGGCAGCCCATGCCACCTCCAGAAAGCTTTCATTATTAGGAGGCATTTCTTTTATTTCTTAATTAAACCTGACCCTCACCAATTTCCACTCTATTGTTCCTAGTTCTACTCTCTAGGACCAACCAGGACAGCTATGGGATAGGCAGCTAGTGGATAGACTGCTGGCCTGAAATTCAGGAAGACCTGAGTTCAAATCCAGCCTCAGACACTTATTAGCTATATAACCCTGGGCAAGTCACTTAACCTGTGTCTGCCTCAGTTTCCTCAACTGTAAAATGGGGATAATGATAGCAGCTACCTCCCATGGTTGTTGTTAAGATCAAATAAGATATTTGTAAGTGCCTGGAAGAGAGTAGGTACTTAACAAAATTCCTTCCTTCCTTTCTTCCTTCCTTTCTGTAGGATCCTGGGCAAGTCACTTAACATCTCTCAGCCTCAGTTTCCTTATCTATAAAATGGAGATAATAATAATGGCACCTACCTCCTAGGGTTTTTGAGGATAAAATGAGTTTGTTTGTAATGTGCTTTGCAAGCCTCAAAGCACTATGTAAAAGCTAGCTGTTATTATCATGTCTTTCTGAAAGTGTGGTAGCCAGAACTATCCTCTAGATGTGATCTGACCAGGGCAGAGGACAGCGTGGCTTTCACTTCCTGAATTTTGGACAGCAATGCCTCTCTTTGCTCAATCTAGGATTGCATTAACTTCTTTAGCTAACACACCCCATTGATGACTCATGTTGCTGTTGCTGTTCAGTTGTATCTGACTCTTTGTGACCCCATGGACTCCACTGTCCATGGGGTTTTCTTGGCAAGGATACAGGAGTGGTTTGCCATTTCCTTCTCCAGTAGATTAAGGCAAACAGAGGGTAAGTGACTTGCCCAGGGTCATATAGCTAATAGGGGTCAGAGGCTGGATTTGAACTCAGGTCTTCCCAACTCCAGGCCCAGTGTTCTCTCCACTGAGCTACCCAGCTGCCTCCTTGATGACTCATAGTGATCATATAATTAATTAGATCTTTTTCACAGGAATTTCTGTCCCTCTATTACCTCTAAGTGATTGATTTTTTTTTTAACCCAAGTGCAGGAGTTTCACTGGAGGAGACCTGTCCTGGGGACACCAGGACAGGGCCCTGACAAGTAGAAGACTTCCAGGGGATGGGGGTAGGGCATCAAGAGACCTGAGGCTTTGGACAGAAGCCCAGACTGGCATAGGTGAGGTGACCCAGACTGGAGAAAGTTATCAATGTACATTATGTATGCCTGGTCTGGTCAAGGCAAGGGCCATGCCTCCCCTTCAAGCCAAGAGATCCCTAAGGCAGGGGTCATGTTTCTTCTCTCAGCCTTGAGGCTCCTGGAGAGTTAGGGCTGTATTACCTTTGATATACTCGCAGTTAAAGGTGCTGGCCTTGTCCCGGGCCTTGAGGTAGATGCGGACCGGGCCTTGAGCCGGCATCGAGGCATTGACCACAAGGAAAGTCTCATAGGGAGGAATCAGCACTTCCTCCTCCCCGGGGAAGAAGGAATAGCCTTTAATAACTACCCCCTGGCAAGTCCAGATGCCAAAGAAGGTGTCCTCTCCAAACTGGTGGGCAGCAGCATCCATAAGGGAAGCTGAGGCAAAGGCTCCTAGGCGGACAGTGGCCCCTGGCCCCACAGGCCGGAAGCGGACCCCATGTATGCCCCGGTAGACCTGATGGCACCTGGGCTGCTGCCCTGAGCCCAGCAGTCTCAGGGCCTCTGTGAGCAGAAAGTGAAGTGTCTTAAAAGGAAAATATCGAAGGTAATAGGCCCGGGATCTGCCAGCCTCTCTCACCGCTGCATTGAACTCTCGGTGCAGGGGGCTATTGGCAGTGTAGGCCAGGAGGGCCACGGCATGTTCGTCCCTGAAGCCCGGCGGTGGCAGCCGTCGGGAGGTAGGGGTCCCCTTTAGCTCCCAGTCCCGGCGCTCCTGCCAACGGGCAGCTGCTGATTTCCAGGCCTCAGCATAGACTGGGCTTGCATTGAACTCAGTGTGGTTGAGGTCAGGGAGGGCCGCCTCCATGGCTGCAGCACAACCTGCATACTGATCGTCAAAGGAGGCTGGTGCCATATCCAGGGGGGACTCTCGTGAGAAGAGGTCACGGCGGGAGACCTGGTGGCTCCAGGCCTGCAAAGAAGGAAGTGTCACATTGTTTCAGCCCCAGTCCAGTCTTCACCTCCGTGGCCCCAGAGCCATAACCTGTCTCCAGGACAGCTAAGGACAAAAAGCACAACTCAAAGGGATTAGGGGCTGAGACCATCTGACCAGAAGCTCTTGGAAGACAGGGGCCTTGTATTCTTTTCAGACGGAGGACTCTCTGAGGGCAGAGACTATGCCCCTCCCCTCAGAAGGGGGCCCACCTGAGGACGAGGGACAACTTTCCTCCTTCTTCTATTTCATTTGGGGACAGAGGCACACACATACCTTCGGGGTTTCCACTAGAAGAAAGGCTGCCAGCAGCAGGGACATGACCGTGTGGGCCGGCATTGTCCGTCAGTCTGTTTGTCCCTGAGAGCCCTGAATCTGACCTGAGAGGTCAGATCTGGGAGGACCTAGAGGGGAAAAAGAGGAAGAAAGAAAAAGAAGCTAGACCTGAAGGTTCATATTTTCCCTCCTCATGGAATCATAGATTTAGATCTGGAAAGGACCATCTCTGCCATCTAGTCTCACATTCTTTATTTTACAGATGAGGGAGCTGAAGTCCAGTGAGTTTAAATGATTTAACCAAGATCCTGCAGGTGGTAAATACGAGAGCTAGGATTCCAAACCAGGTCCTCTGATTCCCCAGCCCTCAGCCTGTCCACTGTACCTGACTGTCCTTACAGCTACTGACCCATCCTCCCTCAATTCAACCAACAGATCCAGGAAGCCTCAGACAGCCTCAGATCCAGGAAGGTCCGGGTTCAAATCCCACATCTGACACAAATAATTCCCGGTGCTCCAGGTGGCCCTCTTGGATGATCAATTGCAGAGAATATGCCAACCTGAACTGGTGAAAGGAATTTCCTTGTATAGGAGTTCCCTAAGTCAAGGAAATCACACTGTGCCTAACTCTACCATCCTCAGAGTCCTTGTGCTCAATGCTGGAGATGTGGAGACAAGAAAAAACAAAAACAAAGACCAGTCCCTGACCTGAAGAAGCTTCTAGTCTGACAAGGGCTGGATTGTAGAATGAGAAGGGGGAGACAAAGTACTCTGAAGAAATGTAAAGAGGGAGGGGGTCAGGTCCACCTTAGGGAGGGGCTTGTGGCACTTGAGCTGGGTCTTGAAGGCAGAGAGGTTCGGGAGGAAGAAATAAAGGAGGGCAGCTTTGAAAAGGTGAGACTGGACAACAGCTAATGGTCTCGTTTGATTGGAATGGGGAATGAGTGAAGGGAGATATTGGGAAATAAAGAATATAAAAGTATATTGGAACCAGAGTATAGAGATCTTTGAATAGCAGGCTGGGAAACTTGTATTTTATTCTGTAGACAGGAAGATTTCTGAGAGGGGAAGTAACATGGTTACTCTGCAGCTGGACTAGAGCCATTTAGAGGACATTAGTGGATAGAGTAATCGACTGGGACTCAGGAAGACCTAAGTGAAAATCCTGCTTCAGACACTTACTAGCTGTGTGACTCTGGGCAGGGCACACAATGAGTTGCTGTGAGGATCAAATCAGATAATACATAACAGATTGTACATACATATATATGTAGATATATATGCACATATATATAAAACAGATTTTATATATTAAAATACTATATAAATGCTAGCTATTATTATTATTAATATTGGCCAGGGTCCTTCCTGGATTTAGCAGTAGTCAGGTGCTTAAATAATGCTTGTTTGACTTGACTGTGCTATGTCTACAAGTAAAAGTGGCACTCAAGGAGACCAAGTCTAGAAGACCAGCTCATTTTTCAGTCTTGTCCGACTCTCTGTGACCCCATTTGGGGTTTTCTTGGCAAAGATATTAGGGTAGTTTGCCATTTCCTTCTCCAACTCATTTTACAGATGATAGAACTGAGACAAACAGTGACTTCCCCTGGGTCACACAGCTAGTAAGTATCTGAGGCCAGATTTGAACTCACGTCTTCCTGATTCCAGGCCTGGTTCTCTATCCACTACACCACCTAGCTGCTCTAGAAGATCAGCTGCATTAGACTAGATACATACATGAGGAAGTCCATGCTTGGAGATGATAGTTTTGAAAGCATCCAAGGATCATTTGACAAAAGATCTCAGGGAGTAGAAGATGCTAAAAGAATGGAAAAAATAATGGAGGAGATTAACATCCCTCACCCCCCCCCAAAAAAAGATGATTAAGAAAACATTAGTAGCAACTATTGATCTATGCACCTACCATCTCAGCTTTATTAAGTCCTTACAAGAATGATCTATCAGAGGCATCCCTGATAAAAATATGAGATGGGAACAGGAAACTTTCACAGATGTTTTTCTATAGTAAAACTTGTCTTTAGTCAAACACCTACCTGGGGGCAGCTAGGTGGCACAGGGAGTACTTGGCCTGGAGTCAGGAAGACCTGATTTCAAATCCAGTCTCTGACACTTATGAGCTGTGTGACCTTAGGCAACTCACTTCACTTCTGCCTGCCTTAGTTTTCTCATCTGTAAAATAGGGATGATAATAACACCTACCTCACAGGGTTGTTGGAAGGCTCAAATAAGATAATAGTAAAATACTCTTAGCATAGTACCTTGGCACATAACAAGGAACCTTCCATACATATCTTAATATCTTATATTATAAATATATTATTAATTATATATGGATGACTCAATACTTGTAAAATGTAAAAAGACCTAAAAAGGAAATCCTCCATCACATTAGGTAAATCTTCTGTGGAAAATCTAAGATGAGAATGTACAAATGGGTTGCAACCTGAACCAATGGAGAGACTACTCATATTGATGAGAACATAGATCTGATCCATTGAAATAAGAAAATACAAGATCATGTAAATTATTTCATCTATTCCTTACAACCCAGTGATATAGGAAATAATGATAAATAACTAATAATATAATCTATTAAGGTTTTAAAATTTTCTCTCCTTGCACCTGTGAAGTAGAGAAAACAAGTGGTATTCTCTCCCACTTTTCAGATGAGGAAACTGAGACTTAGAGAATGGAAAAGACTTGTCCAAGGTCACCTATCTAGTAAATTTCAGAGCTGGGATTCAAACTAAGGGAGTTCTTTTCAGCTTCAGACCAGGTGGAACCCAGACATAGGGCACTTCATCTTTGACTGTATGCATTTTCAATGTCTATTCTCTATTCCTGGAACATTCTCCTTCTCATTTCTGGCTCCTATCTTCAAGGCCCAGCTAAAATCCCACCTTCTACAGGAAGCCCCTTAATGCTTGTGCCTTCCCTCTGTTGATTATCTCCCATTTATCCTGTATATAACTTGTTTGTATGTTGTTTCCTCCATTAGACTGTAAGCTTCTGGAGGGCAGGGACTGCCTTTTACCTCATTTTATATCCCCAGGGCTTAGCACAGTGCCTGGCACATATCAGGGGCTTAATAAATGCATATTGATTGATTGTTGTTTCCCTCCTCAGACTGTGATTTTCTTGACAACAGGGATTATCTTTTGTCTTTCTTTGTATGTCCTGTGACTAGCATAGTACCTGGAACATAGAAGGTACTTAATAAATATTTTTTGAATATTGACACCAAAACAGGGAATGGTAAGCTGCGTGAGTGAAGAAAAAGTTTCAGATCATGGTCCAGGATGACTTCCTTTTCTCCCCATCCAAGCAAGATATTAGGAGACTTATATCCTAGAGTTTTCCTCTGGAACATCAATGAATCTGACTCTAAACTCACATTATCTCATACTTGGATGGGCTCTCAGAGGATATTTAGTTAAATCCATATTTGAACAGGAATCCTTTCCTTTCCAACAAGTGGACACCCAGCCTGTCCTTAAAGTCTCCCAAAGATGGGGATTCCACCGTCTTCCAAAGTGCCCCATTGCACATTTCAGAAAAAGCTGGAAAGACTTATACAAACTGATGCAAAGTGAAATGGGCAGAACCAGGAAAACACTGTATACAGTTTCAGCAGCATCATGTGATGATCAACTACAAATGACTCAGCTTTTCTCAGCAACACAATGATCCAAGATAAGTATAAAGGACTCACAAAGGAAAATGCTATCCACATCCAGAAAAAGGACTGATGGACTTTAAATGCAGATTGAAGCATACTTTTTTTATTTACTTTATTCTTTCTCCTGGTTTTTTCCCCTTTTGATCTGTTTCTTCTTCCACAACTATAATGAATATGGAATTATGTTTTACATGATAGCATATGTATAAACTATATCAAACTGCCTATCATTTTCAGAAGAGGGGAGGAGAGGGAGGGAGGGAGGAAGAGAGGGAGAAAAATTTGGAACTCAAAATCTTGTAAAAATGAATGCTAAAAATTTTCTTGATATATAACTGTGGGAAAAAATAAAATACTATTTAAAGCAAAAAAGAAAAAATAAAAGTGTCCCATTGCACTTTTGGATAGCTACAATTATTAGCAAGAAAATTTAAGCATGATGCTCCTGAGTAGGGTATCGAAGGGAGGGGAAAGAGGGCTTATTGCCTGATGTCATATTTCTTAGTGGACATAGCTTCAAAAGTAGAAGGCCCCTAGACCAGTCCTAGCCCCAGCCCTGTTCTGCCCTCCTCTCTGACCTGGAATTCATACCCTAGGGGAGAGAACAAAGGTTTGATTAACCTTGGTCCATCCCCCCTTTTCTCACAACTGTGTTGCAATATAGACCTGGGAAGTGTCCCTTCTGTAACCCGACTTTCCAGCGTCATTCCCCTCCTTATCCAAACTTCCTGTTTTTCTGTTGTGTTAGAACCAGGAGTCATGGTCAGGAGACATGGATTTTAGTCTTGGCTCCACTACTATCTTATTGGTGACTTTTAACAAGCCCCTGCCCCTTCCTTGGCTTCAGATTCCTCTATAAAATGAGAGGTTTGGGATCTCTAAGATCTTGGAAATCTCTGATTCTTCTTTCTCTGTCTCTATCTCTCTGCATCTCTCTCTCTCTCTGCATCTCTCTCTCTCTCTGCATCTCTCTCTCTCTCTCTCTCTCTCTCTCTCTCTCTCTCTCTCTCTGTCTTTCTCTCATATCCCCCCACCCCTGTCAGCCCTGAAAAACCTCTCCCTAGGAACTCTTCTAGCCTTTACCACCCTCCCTCCCAGTACAGAAATTTGTACCCCTTACCTGGGCCCCTTCAAGGGGAGGGGAAGGCAGGTACTGGGCTCCAGGGCTCCAGGTCCAGGGGGAGGAAGAGTCTCTTTTATATAAGAACCCCTCTTCTCCCTTTTCTCCTCTCCTTTCTCACCTTCCCTACAAATGCTTGGAAACTCAATCTCCCCCCTCCTCTGCCTTCTATTTCTGGATGGGCTCCTTCCTGCCCAGGCCCCAATTTGGCCCTGAGTCTGCCCCTCCCTGGCATGTTTTCCT